AATTAAAGGCAGATGAATAACAGAAAATATATGAATAACAGAATATATATGAATAACAGAATATATATGAAAAACAGAAAATATAAGAATAATAGAAAATATATGAAAAACAGAGCTCATATATCCCAATGATTTGCGCTTGCAATAAACCTTTAAAATAGCTATGTTCCTCTCAAATCATTTTTGTGCACAGATTTTTAATGTAAATAATATACAAAATATAGACGACCACTGACAAGCGTGTCACTCTCACGGAGTATAGCAAAACAGACCTAAAGCATACATATCAGAAGTATCCCAAACGTATGGTTTAAATATTTGGCAATCACCTATACGAAAAAAAAATATTTAATTCGACTTTGCGATTGATGGAAAAATATTGATGTAATGGTTGCCTGTAGGAAGTTAAAATATAAAGGTGGTTTTAATTTACATTTAAAGTAAAAGAAGACTGACGACGGAAATGATCCTGTGAAGTATAGTCTTAAGTTGAGATATATATAAGTCGTACTCCATCAGGAACATAGACGATTTACATATAATCTCCAGTTCGTCTCCAGGACGTTTTTGGCGTGTGGCGTAACATATTTCATCGTAGTTCTTCCTTAAAGTATGTCCTAGCCAGTTGAATTTGCGTCTCTTGATTTGTATATTAACATCCTCTGGCTCAGCTACGCGTAAAAGCTCTTCATTTGAGATGATTCTTGGCCACCATATTTTCAGAAGGTTCCAAAAGCATTGGTTATTAAAACTATGTGTTTATGTTTGAAGTTATTGCTGACCAGAAAAGTTTCTGAACCATAAAACAATATCAATTTTACACACGCATTGAAAATGTATGTGTAAAGTTCTGTATTTTAGTTTTTGGTGATAAGTCGTTCGCTCTCCAAATAATGTGTTAGTTAGAGAAGACAATTCTAGTTTTCCCGATTCTGTTGTCGACATCATATAAGGCGCCACCATCTTTGGCAATTACGCTTCATAGGTAGCAAAATATATCCTTCAGTTATCGTTATATATAATTATATCAGTTTATGAATTTTTTTATGAAATAAATTTAGAAAACGAAATAATAAATAAAGCTACTACTACACGAAGGCAACGAAAAGGCGAACCTTTATGCCAAAAAAAGGGGCAGAAGAAGCATTCATTGGTCCAACTGTCTTCTTTGGCTTCAATAAAACGAACATAAAACAGGAGATGCTAAAAGAGCAAACACCGCTCTCAATCTAAACAAGAAGAGTCTAAAGTCTCTCTCTGGTGCACTAACAAAAGCCACGCCGCATGTAACCTACACAAAATAGGTATATCCGATACTAATATTTGCAGATTCTGCTGTGATGAGGAAGAGTCTATGGAACATCTGATCACCAACTGTGATGCACTAGGCCACAGAAGAAACAAAATTTTAGGTGCATACCAACTAGAGGATGAAGACATTCGAAAACTCCCTCCGAAGGAGCTGATTCAATTCCTCGAGATACTAAATATCTAAATACAAAGGAGTTCATAATAGTTCAAACTCGTCGCAGTGCATAGTGGCCTTAACCTAACTCGAAAACCCCAAACACCATTACCATTACTACTACTAATATGAATAAGATCCAGGATCGTAGACATCTTATAACAGAAGCACTGTAATAATGCAAACAACTCATTGGTGGTCTAAATGTAGTCTATCCATATTCCTATCCATATTCCAATAAATATTTTTAGCTGTTTATATCGAAAAATCATATTCATTTTGGAATCCTTTACAGTTCTCTGCTAGGTGCGGAGAATATTAACTGCTTTTCTGCACATATGAAAAATGTATGGCTTTATGTAGTTTGGCAAAAATCGAAATAGGCTTTTATTTAACAGAAAATATATTTTTGTTTATTTCAACTTTTCTTTGCTTTTGTTTTTTTAGTTGTTTTGGAGCTCGAATCTTTTAAAACCTTCATATACCAAATCATTTCAGCAAAAACTGAACACAAAAAATGGTTAAATTAAGCAAAAAGAAAAAATCTTTTGAAACGAAACAGGCTATAGTACTAAAACAATGTGTAGGTATAATATATATGCATGTACAGCACATAGATAGGACGAAGGATAACAAGTATGCACATTCCTGCAATGCACGTTAACTCGCATAGCAACGCATAAAATTGGTAGGACAGCAGATTTTTTATGGTCAGTGTTCACTACTACAGTGGCTAGAATTGTTGGCCATTGTACTGCCAAATTAAAATGCCACCTTCACCCGCCCACAGTTACATAACTGCACACACACACATGCATATTCTTATATGTCTGTTCTGCGACAGCTAAACCAAAGCACACAGACTCCAACCTACAGATATCAAAAAAAAAAAAAAAAAAAAAAAAAAAAAAAAAAAATTCCTTTCTATAAACTACAGTAATTCAAGCTGGGCTTAAGCGAACTTAACTTTGCCAGCTACATTTTGTTTCTGTCCTGTACTAGTACCAATACCAGTAGCTGCTGCTGCAGTTTGGTATATGTGCCGGCCTAAGCTGATGTTCAATATAAACTAGCAAAGGCGTAACAACAACAGTTACGTCAACGACAGTAACAGTAGCAACGGCGGCAGCAGCAGCGGCAGCAGCAGCAGCAGCAGCAGTGTCCGTTGCAGTACCAGAAGCAGCGGTTGTTGATATTGGAACTAGTGGGTTTAACTGGACATGTGTCGATAAAAGGTTATGGATGGATTTTATATGAAACCATTGCACATAAAGTAATGAAAATGCATTGCCAAAAAAAATGGCTGTAAAGAAAATAAAAACCCACAATATTGAAAAAATAGTTGCTAAAAACTGGCAAATATATGCACGTTTTCCGTGTTATTCGAACTATTTTTTTACACAAGTACATTCATATAAAAATATAAATTTCACATGTATGAACACAGCTGTATGAAGCAAGACTCGAAATTTTTTGCCCAACTTTGGAACAGAATTTTTTATGCGTTTTTTTACAAAAAAGCGATATATTCACATTCACGTACTCCTTATTTACTATTCAATATTTATTACCATAATTTCATACTAGACATAGCGAGGCAAGGATGTACTGCGCTTCTGCTAAGTTCTCACGAATTTTTGTGAATTTTAATTAAAAACAAAAAACGCATAAGTAAGAATTTCTGTTGAAAATATTCTATACAAATCTTGTAAAAAGACAAATCTTTTTCAAAAAAACAATGACAACGGTAAAAAAATCAACTTCTGGGCACTTATTCCTACTAAACAATTCCTGAGCAATATCTATCTGAATAAGATTCACTTAAAAAGCATCGATACCACCTTTATATCATTATTTATTGCATTTAATATTTAATTAAAAACAGAAATTAGAAACGACAAATTTTGCTATTCTGTTCTCTTAATGAACCTATCTGTTGATTGAGAAAGATACCTACCACCATCATCAGTTAACATAATTTAGTAATTAATGATTTTGATTAGGCATCCAGATTAAACGAACAAACGTTAGTTCACAACGAATGTCCACTCAGAAGAGTTTATATTACAACTTTACTTTGAACAACTTAACCCTTCGGTGGGAGACCTATTGAACGAACAAAAGTTGGCTGATGATAAGTAGATCCTGAAAATGTTTTTTTTCACTACACATAATCACTATTTACCTATATATGAATAGATCAAGAATTGAGCTCAACTCTTTCTCATATTAAGAAAAATTCTAAAAATACGTCTAACAGAAAATTATATGTTAAATTTATGTATAATAAGTTAGTTGTGTCACAATTGTGCCACAAATCCTTGTGATAATTAGTAGAAAAGGAAAGGTCAAGCTAAAACCAGTAAGAGACATTTATAAAGGCGAATTTCTGGGTAATGCTAACGGTGAAGATACCGCAGAGTGTGTTAAAAAAGGCGACCTCCAGAAACTTAAGACTTGTTAGGATCAAGTCTGGACATAGACACAGCAAATGTTCTGGTGTCCTTTCTTCAAGTGATTGTAGTCACGCAATCCATGCCATCGTAAGGTCCAGTGCCCTGCAAAAACAGATATTAACCAAGATACTTTTGATCTTGCTACTGTGTATCTAGTTCGAGGTTCTACATTTGAAATAGATTGGCTATGTAGCCCTTGACCTAAGTGCAGAGGCAGCATGGGCAAAAAATTGTCACAAATCAACCTAAATAAATCTATAAATCTTATTTATAGATACCAATAGCAAAATTTTTAAAATTGCTAGCATATGGACTTTTAATTTAAATGTAAGTAATGTAGTATAAACTTTAAAAAGAAGTTATAAGCATTTATTTAGGTATGGTTGCAGTAGCAGGTCAACTGATACCCATCTACTGGCGATAATTAATGATTCTCAACCGTTTTACTACTACATTCCTCGCAAAACATCTTAAAAAATGAAAATAGGTAAAAACAAAATCCATCCCTTGAATTTTGGTAATATAAAAGATCTTTCATTCTTACCGATGAACTCTCTGAAAAACTTACAGAAAAAAACTACTTACATAAAAACATTTTGCCTCTAGAAAGCAAAGCTAGCCAGTCACACAAAAAATCTTTAACTGACTCTACTTCATATAATTTTTCACGTTATATATTAAAAAGTAAACCTTGCAATATTTACCCCCGGTGTTTGTACATCCAAGAAAGTGTCAAAAATCGAATCGATCACTTCGAGAGTCGATTACTTCGAGAGTCAGGTGCTTTGTGAATCGAATACTTGGAAACATAATTTCTAAATTTTTTCCTAAGAGATGTGGACAAATAAGGTTTTGTTAATTTAAAAGTTAGACTAATTTAACCATTTCATAGACCTTACACATAATAAAAAATTAAGGTTAACGGAGTTTATAAACTAGCTGACTAAAGATTTGATGAATAGTTCAAACAATCTTTTA